GTCCCTGCAGCTGGCTGGCCTGGCCCTCCAGTGCTCACTTACTTAAGATGGTCTCTGTTCTGTGACTTCATTTGGGCCGAGGGCGAGATGCTGGGTGGGGAGTCTAGACCTCCTGTGGGTGTCCCGCTCTCCTCCGCCTCTGTCGAGCTCTGCTGGTGGCGACGGCCACGTGCTCTTTCCCTGCCGCTGCCGCGTCCCTGTCCAGCTTGCCTCCAGCATCCCCAGAGTGTTTTCTTGTCCTCATTCCTTCTTGCCTCTCACTGACTTGGGGGAGCTTTCAGCCATCCTGAAATCCTGCTGGCTCGCTCGGCTCCCCTCTTCACCGAGGCTCCGGTTCCAGGTGTGAGGAGCTGGCGGCGCCTCTCAGACCCTGCGGCCTGCTGCCTTCCCAGCCGTCCACCCTGGAGGCGCGCTGCTGGCCTGGTAGGGTCACGCGGTTGCTGTGCTCTTCAGTCTAGAGTTTCTGTTGGGTGCTTTTCATGGAGCTTTGCTCCTCGCCGAGAGCCTGTCTTTTTCTTTCTTGAACTCTTTTTACCTGTGTTTGCTTACTTTTATGTGGCGCTGAGGATCACACCCAGGGCTCCACACGTGCCAGGCTGAGCCACTTCCCATCCATTTCTTTATTGTAACACTGTTTAAACTTTCTGGATTCTTGAAGGTAGTTATAATAGCCGCTTTCAAGCTCTGGCCTGCTACCTTCAGCAGCTGGGTCGTCTGGGCTCCGTGTCCCTGGACGGAGACTGCTTTTCTCTTGAGCTTTTCTGTTTTGGTCAGTGACTGTAGGTGGACTCCTTACACATGACAAGTGGCCGACGTCGTGGGCCCTGCTTGGTTGTCCTGCAGGGTGTTTTCTCTTAGGGCAGGGGATATTGGCTGCACAAGGTCAAAACTCACTCTTTCATGTGGTAGATAGCAAGCAAAGTCCCTCCTGTTCTTTGAGCTGTACCTTGGCTCCGTGGGGTCTTCTCCACCGTGTGGTTTCACCAACCCCAGAGGGCTGGGGCCCAACGTGCCCACCCCACACCGGGACGTGGCGCTGCCTCAGGGCGAGCCGGAGCAGCTCCTGGTGGACACACCTGGAGGGTCTTCACCTGACATTGCGACCTCCCCTAACTCTGCTCCCCCACGTGCCTGTGCCCCTGGTTTCCTGAAAGCCTGTGCCTGCCCTTCCTTTGGCCCTCGGCTTTCTCCCGGCACTCCTGTCTACCCCGGGTGGAGGGGCCCTGAGCTCCCCTCTGCCCTCCCAGCCCCTCTGAGTGGTCTTGTCTCAGAACGCTGGGGCCTGGAGTCCAGCTGAGACCTCCAGCACTGCATGGAGGAGTGGGCAGTGCTCGTGACCGCTGCCGCGCTTGGCCCTCGGGCAGCTTGGCTCCCCTGCCTGGGGGTCCCGTCCTCAGGAGTCCTGGCGGGTCTGCCCCACAGGCTGCTGGCTCCTTTCCCTGCCTCCTTCACGCCTGCCGCCTGCGGGCTCTCCTGTCCCACCCAGCTCCTCTCCAAAGGGACCAGGCCACCTCTGAAGCATGGCAGCCCCTGCCTGCAGCTGGAACCCTGCGTGCACGTCTGGGCCTCAGTCCTGGGAGGAGGGAGCAGTGTGCCTTCTGTTTAGGTGAGGTGGCAGTGCCCGAGGCCACGTGCAGGGAGGACCTGGGGCAGGTCCCGGGCTAGCTGCAGCCTGCGTGCCACCACACTGCTGCCTGTCTCCCTCTCATTTCCCGTCCCAGTCGCCTCCTGTGTGACACTTGCCTCTCGTGTTCATGTCCTGCCCTGGCCTGGCCCTGTGCCCCTGGCCCCCAGCAGGCCCTTCTCTTTGAAGTCAGGGTAGGCCTTGCTTCTGGGGACCTTCCGACTTTGTCTCCCTTCTGGCTGACACTGTGCCTAGTACTTACAAGTACTGAGTAGAACGTTTGTCCTGCTAACAGCTAAGTGACGTTGCTGAGGCCCGGAGTCCAGACCGTGTCTCTGGCCGCGTGTGGGGAGAAGGCAGTTGCCCGATGCCCCTCAGGGTGACTTGTCACTTTCTCTTCACACTGTGGACCTCCGTGGCTTCTCCCGCCATCTCTGGAAAACCGAGCGCCCAGTCAGTGCAGGCTGCGGGATGGCAAGACGCCAAGTGCGCCATGCAGGGCTTGGGTGGGACCTGGAGTGTCCAGG